TTTTAGTTTAATTTTCTTTTAGTATTTTTTTTTTATAGAGTGTGAAGGTAAAATTTGGGCCCTATTTTTTCAAAACTAATTTTCAATCACAAACTCTCCCATAAAATAATTTTACACGTAAATCTAATTTATTTTTTTTCTATTTTTTAACTACACAAAAAAATCATTATTCAAAAACGCATTTCGCTGAAAAATTATATACATTTATAATGTCAACTTTCAGCTCTTTAAGTATAACTTATTATTTGAATTAATGTTTTTAAAGGAAATGAGTCTAAAAGTTAATTATTGCTAGAATAATAAACATAAAAAAGTAAACCACAAAAAATTTAAATTTGTATATTTGTATCTGTTTAAATTTGCTTTTAAATTATCCACTTTTAGTTTATTGATTTTTTAGCCTACTTTCATCACAAAAGCAGGTTTTTGAATAATAACCATGGAAGATGACCATTTATCTTTCAGATTGCAAGAATTATTTATTCTTTATCTTTTAGGGTTGAAGTCATTTTTGAGTTTTTGTCCCCGTCGCTTATAAGCTTATCATTACTACATATTTAGTCATTGTTTGATTTTCATTTTTTTTAAAATATATTTTTTTTTCAATCTTGCATTCTTGAATAAAATTATATTACACGCAAACTTAAATTTTTTTCTTATTTTTTAGTTATATATTTTTCAACAATCTATTATTCCAAAATGTATTCTTAACCTTTTAATGGGGCTCAAACATGCTCTTAATCGATTTGAAACTTTGTTCTCATTTTTTTTCAATATTCTTCCCTTTGAACAATATAGATGATAAAATTCTGCTCTACTCGACCCGCATTACCTTGACCAAAATAGTAAATGGGATGGGGATGAAAACGCAGTCAGTGCCTCGAATTGCTCTATCCATACCAAATCTTTTTATTTTATTTTCATATTTTCAATTTCAATTGTATTTCAAAAACAGAAAATAATAAAAATATAGGTAAATAATTAAATGATGATCTTTTAATTCTCGTACTGTCCTTTTGTCATTAAAATAGATTGATTTGTAATTAAATTCTTTTATATTGGTTTATTGTTAGCTTAATAACTTTCAAAAAATAACTTTCTGCAAGTTTGTCATGATAATTATTAATTTTTTGTACTATATATTTTTAAATTTTATACATGGTCTGTTTTTTGTTTCCTTTTCTTGTTGTAGCCTAGTGAAAAACTTATTTTTTCTTTTATCGACGAGTATTGATGTCTTTCTTATTTATTTTTCGAATTGAGATTACTAATATTTTTAAAACATATTATATGTTTTCTGAATCATTTTGTCATGCAGGTATTGATTTGAAATAGTAACGCATTGCACTTTTAAAATGAATAATTTCAATAAAATAAAATATTTGTAATTATTTATATTGACGTTTCATATAAATTTTTATTCTTTCCAATAAAAATATGTTAAAAGTCAAATGAAAATCTATAAAAAAATTTATTTTGTTTTATGGGCTACCATATTTCAAATGCAATGATAACGAATAGATGCAACTTCACTTGTTCCTATTTTCTCATTTAATTTACTGTAGAGAATGCTAAGATTTTACAATTATCGATGTTCTCTTATTGTAATTTTCTCAATAACTCTGTAGAGATAATCATCACTAGCAACTAAGGAAATAATCTGCAAAAGGTTAGACAAAAAGGAAGATAATGGCAGAGGGCATAGCATTTTCCATCGTTGGGAAGCTTGCAGAATACACAGTCGATCCAGTTTTGCGCCAAATCAAGTACTTGTTCTTCTTCAACAGTAACATTCAGGATTTGCGAAATAAAGTTCAAGAACTTGAAAATAAGAGAAATGACGTGAAACTACAGGTTGGTGCCGCCGAAAGAAATAATGAAATCATCGGGGAAGAAGTTTCGGCATGGTTGCTAAAGGTCGATGACTTAAAGGAAAAAGCTCATGAAGTTTTGAACAGTGTGGCAGGTTCTGAAATGCGGTGTCTATTCAATAGATGTCCAAATTTGAAGTCCCGTTACTTATTAAGCAGGAGAGCCACAAAGAAGACTATTGAGGCTGATAAGCTCAAAGTGGAAGGTACATTTGAGAGGGTGAGCTATCCTCGACCTCCGGTGCAAGTGTTGAACCTAACTTCCCATCAGAGTTTCGAAACAAGGTTATCAACTAAGGAGCAAATCAAGGAAGCTCTAAAGGATAAAGATATCAGCATAATTGGGATATGTGGCATGCCTGGAGTTGGTAAGA